CCTGGCTCCCCGCCCGCACGGGGGGTGCGGGGTGTCAGCTGGGCTGAGCTGGGCTTCTGTTGTTCAGGGGGAACCGGGCAGCAGGTGAGGAGGGGGAAGGATGGAAGGGGAGGGGAGGGGGGGCTTGCTGCTTTCTGAGGTGTATGCTGGCAGCCGAGCGTCTGCCAGGAGAGAGTAGCCTGAAACCAAGCCTGATTGTTTTGTCTTGTTTTGTTTTCTTAAAACCGATGTACGTATTGAAACGGCAGCACTTCAGGGAGTTGCCCCATGTCTTGCAAGGGACGTACTGTTAAGACCATAGAATTATAGAATGGCTAGAGTTGGAAGGGACCTCAAAGATCATCGAGTTCCAACCCCCCTGCCATGGGCAGGGACACCTCCCACTGGACCAGGTTGCTTAAATTCCCATCCAGCCTGGTCTTAACACCCTCAGGGATGGGGCCTCCGCAACTTCTCCGGGTTCCAGTGTCTCACCACCCTCATAGTGAAAAATTTCTTCCTGATGTTTAATCTAGATCTGTCCTCTTCCAGTTTGAAGCCATTACCCCTCGTCCTATCACTACGTGCCCTTGTAAAAAGTTCCTCTCTAGCTTTCCTGTAGGCCCCCTTCAGATACTAGAAAGCTGTTCCCACATTAGCGACAGCTTTTAACTGACCCTTTTCTGCAGCTTGGACTTGGAAATTGCTTTGTTACCTGTTGTCAACTGACAGCTTACGCATGGTTAAGAAAATATGCTTTTTTTTCTTTACAATTTAGCAGTAAAGGTAAAGAATTTCTAAAACGGTTTCAGTGAGCTTGTAACTTTGATGCAACCTTAAATGTGATTTTTTTTTTTTTGTCCTTTTAAATTCTGCTGTGGCTGCTTAGAGGAAACTGAGACATGGTGTTTAATTTTACAAGTGCTGAGGAAAAGACCAAAAGAACTGAGGGGTTCCTAGTTCATTGCCTGTATGCTGAGTAGATCATTGTGGCAGGGCACAGTAGCATGTCTTTTATACTAGTGCTGTGTTTTAATTTTAAAGCACTTAATATTCCAGGACCTTAGGATCAGTCCAGCCTTCCTGCTCTTTGCTCCAGTGTTTTA